ATGTAAGTAGGCTGTTTTACCTTTGCGCTGTCTGTTTGTATATTTGGTTTTTGCTCACATAAATTTGTATTCGTCTTTTTGCAGAATATTCTGTATGTTATTGTTTTCTTCTTAGGCCGTCATATATCGGAGTAATGGATGAATAAAAAAATACTCTCCAATCAAAATATTCAATAGATATGATGTGTTCTTTTAAGAAATATGATCGTACCTTGGACGTATAGCAAGAACCTTTGAGAATGTTTCTTGGAGTTCATCAACATATTTGACTAAAAACTGAAAAAAAAATATAGAAAAATGTGCTTTATACAATAAATTCGTACTTGTAGCAAGTTATGGAAATTTCTGTGTGTATCGTCAGAAAGAATCGCCATATTCATTGATTACTAATGTATTTTGATTATTCACGTACTTGATAATTTATTTTGGAAATTGGAAGAACGTGTATTTGCGCATCTGTGATGAAATCTGTCAATACACTAGATATTTCATCATTTTGTATGCATTTCATCGCTCTATGCCGATCGGCATCAATCCATACTTTGTAATTAAATTCCTGTGCAAGCCGAAGCCATACCTTGTTCGGAAAATAAATGCAAGAATATATATAATTATTCAAGAATATAGGAGATCCCAAAGAGGGGAATTACCTTCTCTTTACCTGAAATTATCAGAAAAGAAATGAATTGAGTAGTTTGTTATATTAGAAAAATTTAGGAAAAATGTTTATTGTATTACTCAGCTCTTCACTACTACTATCAAATCTCAATTTTTGTCAGCAATATATTTACTATTTTTCAAATGCTTTACCAATTTTATATGCTCCGCAGACGATTAAATGAGTGCCTGAGCTGCTGCTATTAATGAATTCTTCACAGTATCCAATGCTTTCCTGGGGGCAAATCAGATATGAAAAATGAAATTAATGAAAGGATAGCAATGCTTCAGTAATGAAATAATAATTATTACATCGATACTTTCTGCCTGTGTTGGAAAATCAAATTTTGAAGACAAATAAGTTGTATCCAAATAAATTGTCCTTCGGGAGGAGAATGAAAAAAGAAAAATATAAACATAATCGTAATAAAAAAATGGATAAATTTACTCTATTTGATTGTTCCAAAACTCAGGATATTCTTCCATTGTGGGCGATGCACGCATATCACCAGTATCTAATAAAATATTTTTGATAAATGATTTGAAATGAATTTCATGGTGTTTGTCATACATACGAAGTATACATTTTCCAGTCTTGAATTTGAAAAGAAACATCACAGCCCCTGGGCAACTGTTTAAAGAAAATCATAGTTTTAATTATTAATGCAAATTGCTCAGTTCAAAATTATGAAAAATATTCAATCTCACTGATTGGCATCGAGAGCAGTTACTTCAACTTCATCAACGAAAACAGGTATACTAATATCAAGACATCGAATATATTGTTTATCAACTTTGATAAACTCCATCACTAATCTACCTAAAGTGACCAGATAAGACATGAATTTTATTACGGATCTTTAATTATGGATTTTCTTGCTTTCTAATTTGTAATGGTTTTCAACCATCTATTGTCATACTTTCTCACTCACACAGAATTCAAATAGTAATTTAGTACCTATAATGTAATTTACCTGATATATTGGATAAATAAAGTTTATGATTGAAACTTTTTTTTAATCCAATATAGTGATCTGCGTGAAAATGGGAAAGAAAATAACAATCTACACCATCAATATCACCATACCGAAAAGCATCCACTGCAAATTTAGTGCCTTCAATAATTTTATAGTATGGAATATTTTGTATTTTTTTACTTAAACTATAGTTTATCATATAATTTTCAGCATCATTGGGAATGCAATCAGTTTTATCAAATGCATCAATATTTTCATTTAGTTCCTTAGGTTGGTTTTGATTAGCAGTGGTCGAAACGATAGTTTTTGTTTGAATCTCTTTCGGAAAAATTGATTGTTTTTGAAGTTTTAAATCTTCCTGTTTTCCAACGTTCGATCGCTTTTCTAACAAGATATTTGTGGATTGTTTATCTTCTTCAACTAAAAACGTAGATAAAATATAATAAAGCTCATGTTAAATGTCGATTTTAATAACTTACAATCTTTTTTTGTTACTTTAAAATTTGAATGAAAATATTCATCAATTTTATGGTATTTGTGATGTGATGGGAATGGACGGCCTCTTTTAATGGATTTTAGTTTCTTTTTTATGTTTTTGTTCTCAGAAACATTACTTTTAGTTGAATCTAATATTTTTATCATTTTTACCAAAATATAAAATACAAAACTTAGATGACAAAGAAAAAACGCAACATTGGGGGAAGAATTATTAACATGCCACTTTCCATCCCATGAAACAGAACAGCAATCAGATTCTTCCTATAACGTATTATGAATCAGTTTTGACATTTCAGTTGCTACTTGGGGTATGTAAGTGACAGCTTGAACGTTCTTTTGTTTAAAACACGTCGCGTGCTACGCGTTTCTTTTTGATCAAAACTTCTTTGAATATAAGATCTTTACTTCAAACTGATTGATTATTTTCGGAATGAATTCCAATAAAATTAATCAAAAAGAATACCTGAAAAGATATTTAGTTGACGATGTAAGGAAAAAGAAGAAAAAGGGAAAACTTTCACAAAAACCTACGTAAGCTTATTATTATTATTTATTTCACCGTCTGATCACAGATTGAATATATGTATCACAATTATTTTACAATATCATTTGTAATGAAATCACTTCCCGATCGAATAACCAGCCACCAGTCTTTTCGACTTCGGAGCAGCAGATATCGATTGTGTCCGTTACACATTTCCAAATCATAAAATAATTTTTCTTAACTAGCCAATTTACAGATTATTAAATATCACATTGTCCAATTTTACAATATCATTTCTAAAAATTTGCCTCGATGCCGATTCTAAGCATGTTTCTCTTACTAAATTAAAAATGTTACAAGCCACGTGTTGATTATGTGCATACTCCGATGAAAATTTTCTAACTCTAATCAGTTCTGTATTTCTCGAATTTCTTTGGTTTTCGTTATATTGCAGTCAAACCCGCCCAAATGTCGGACTATTTGTTTGAATTTTCAACTTCAGTTTGATATTTAACACTTTTGCTTTCATCTAAAAATATCATTCTATACACAATTCTATGTAGAATTTAATTGTGTGAAGCACAGAGTGAAGACTTGTCAGAGTGAAAAGAGTCAAAGAGAGTAATTTCCAAAAATATATTATTATTTTCCATTTTTCCGTCGTAACATCAAAAATTCCAAATGTCGTATATTCATCTTCCAATTCTCAGCTCCCAAATCTCGACAAATTTCATGAATTTTCACTGAGAAACTTGAACAACTTTAAGTTTTGACAGCTCATGAACGCATTCTTTACATTGAGGTAAACAATACAAAATATTCAAGTTGAAATTATTGGATTGATATATTTTTGCTGCATATTTAATTTTATTTATTTTTTCATAATAAAATGGCAAAAATATTTAAAAAATATTACGTTATTTCACTGATCTATAATATTATTGGTTTGAATTTCACGATGATCCTGTCACATCTGTCGAATCCAAAGTATTTCACTTGAAACTTCAGTGCTTTATGTGTCGGCAATTGGACGATTTATTCCGGAATAATATTACAGTGAAAAATGAAAAATAAATATAATTGTTTTTCTTTATATTTTCAATATTTCTTTTCAATAACTAAATTAAACTATCTACAATTCGCTGACATATTTTTTTCCAAATTAGTTATTTTTTCATATAAAAAAATGCATTTTATCGACTTGTCTCAAAATGACAAAGTTTAACTTTTGACGTGAAAAAGTGATAAAAATGCCGAATTTTTTTGAACGTAATTTGTGAAAGCAATAATAGGTTTTTGATTAAATTTTGGATTATAATAAAGAGATTTGATATTGATCTTTCATAATTTACTTTTAAAAATGCAATTAAAATGAATTCTCAATTTTTAATTTCAATTCAACTCTCCGACATTTGGTCGTGTGTCGATATTTGGCAATGTACTGTATAGACAATTTTATCTCGTTTGATGAATCCCATTGCCCCATTTGCACTGTCTGTAATCGCGTCGATGTGATTGACAAATGTAAGCTTCGTGTCAAATACATCTTCCAGATCCTTGTGTAAGGTGATCTGTTCAAATGTATGTTGACCGTTGTTGATCGCATAATCATAGTTGACTATGTTTCCGCCTTTTGAGTATGTCATTATGAAAACAATCAGTACACCATTCACTCAACTGATTAATGGCATTTTGAAAAATTATGGCATCCAAAGGCGATTGTGTGGTTCGGATCAATTTTAGATCATCTGCGAATAATAAAACAAATTCATTTGATACTATTTCCAGCATGTCATTAATAAATACAATGAAGAGACAAGGTCCCAAAATACTTCCCGCTGGTACACCTGATGACACAGTGAAGGTTCATAACCTTCTTTCACCAATTCTAACAAACTGCGTTCGTTCTGTCAAATAATCGCGGATCCATTTGACAAGCCGTCGTCCGAATCCGAATCTCAGCAGCTTCTGCAATAATTTCTTGTGGTTCATACTAGGGGCAGAGCAGTACTAGAATAATAATTTTTGTTTAAAGTAATTCTATGTTGTGAGTAGTAATCCATATTAATCCGCAGTAATATACACTTGTGTAATTTCTATTGGGTGTGCCATTTTTTTTTTTTTTTTTTTTCGAATTGGGGAGCTAGTTGTAGCATCACGCGTACGCTTCATCAGTGTTTTGCGCAGACCCAATGGTGTTTTTACATGCAATTTACGTTTTTGTGCCATAGTCCGATGCATTTCCGGAAAGTACGCTATCTAGGCCGATGCACTCCTGAAGGTATGCTATCAAGCCTGATGCATGTTTTTACGGGGTTACGCTATCTAATTAGCCTTGACACAAACCCTATTGCATGGTGCTGTCATTCGATTGCTTGGATTATTCCTCCAATGCAATTGTCGTGACAGTCACAATTCCACCGATACATATATGGCGTTGAGCTCTTTTTTCAAATGGGGGAATGCGAATACCACTGATTTACCGGTATATTCACCAGTAGTTCGGCACTACCTTTTTTGCGGTTTATGTATTGGACATTGATATATCCAAGACATCAACCTAACGCGAAGGCACTCCATTTTTACGTGTGTCTGTGCTGAACCCATATCTTCGCTGTGCACACACACGGGACCGACGGCTTTAAGTGCCCTCCGAAGCACTCCACAAATCCGAGATACGGCCAAAACCTCTCCTCATTAAACCACTGACAATTCCTGAGCGAATCACGGTGGAAAAATACCGGACGAAAGAGGTAATGTCAAATGCCCTTATAAAGTCCCTAACGCAGTTTCTTACACCCTTTTACTCACACACAAACAAAACAAAATGTCAAAAAACAGCTGTTCGAGCGAACCATTCATAACCAACTTCATGCTACTTGTAGATTTGGAATGAAAATAATGTTTGAAATTTCTTTGATATTTCGAAAAAATTAACTAATTATTTTGGAAATTTTTAATATGTTTAGAATAAAATAAATTTTTAAACATTTTTTGTACTAACAATATTTTAATAAACATTCACTTATTATTTAATTTTCACAATTTCTATCAATTCACAAATTATGATTCTTAGCACTAGCTGAAGTTGGTAATATGTCAACCTTAAATCATTCATATAAAAACATATTGTGTTCCCGCACACATAAATGTTGGGGACTTTTGACAATTCCACTTTGACCGAGAATCGAACTCGTATCCTCACGCTCACAAATCTGGCACGCTAACCACTAGTCTATGGCTGGGTGTGCCAATTAATTTTAAAGGATTTTTGTGTGAAAAGATACATTTATTTAAAAACAACTGTACAATATTTTCTACCCAATGTATTGCCCATCGTTAGCTATGACTTCCGCCCATCTTCTTGGTAACTTGTCGATTCCACGTCGAAAGAATTCCTCATCTTTTGACGCTATCCATTCATCGATCCATTTTCGCACTCCTTCAGGATTTCGAAACGATATCTCAGACAAGCCCATTTGCATTGATCGAAACAAGTGGTATAGTCAGAAGGGGCGAGGTCTGGAGATTACGGGGGGTGATCAAGCCGATCCCAACCGAACGCCTCTATCTTTTGTTTGACGATGTGTGCTCGATGTGGCTTAGCATTGTCGTCGTGAAACAAAACTCGATGATGTTTTCTCGCTACCAACGGCCGTTTTTCGTTCAATGCATGCGCCAATTTGTTCAATTGTTGTCGATAGCGTTCAGCTGTAACCGTTTCACCTTGTTTTAGCAGCTCATAATACACGATACCTTTCTGATCCCACCAAATGCACAGCATGACCTTCTTCTGGCAATGTATGTCTCGTTTTGGCTGCGATGGTCCTGGTTGGCCTGGATCAACATACGCTCCTTTACGTTTGGAGTTGTCGTAATAGACCCACTTTTCATCGCCATTAACAATTCGACTCAAAAAACTATGTTTTTTGTGCTCGGAAAGATGTTGTTTGCATGCTGTGATTCGTGCTCTCAATTGAATTTCATTCAGTTGATGTGGTACCCATTTTCCCAACTTTCGAATCTTTCCCATTGCATGCAAACGCACAGAAATGGTTCTTCGGTCGACATTCAACTCCATTGCAAGTTCTTCTTGCGTTCGACATGCATTTTCATCGAGTAATGCTTGCAAATCTGCATCTTCAAACTTTTTTGGCTGACCTGGCCGTTCATTATATTTTTTGCTGACTCCTTAAAGAACATAAAGATATTTACATAAACTTTTACTTTTTGACATCTTCAACACATATATTTTCAAACATTTTTTCACTGTTATTTTATCAAAATATTGAACTCACTTTAATTTTAATAAATTACTCGAAATTTCTCAAACACGTTTTATATCACATTCCATGAAATGTCAAAAATTCACGAACTAAATGTTGCCCGATGTTGTCAAATTCCGACTACGCGCCCTCGTAATCTGAACACTGCACCGCTATGTATCAATCCTTTAAAATTAATTGGCACACCCAATAACAGCAATTTAATGACGTTTCATGTGTACGTTGTATATTATATTTGTTAGGAATAAACTGGACCAATAGACACATTCTCAATAAAAATTACCATAAAAATTCCATACAATTTTCGGTATTTTGATACAATTTCTGGTGGTTTTACTATGTTTGTTAGCCAAAATTGAATAATTTACAAATTTTGTAGATTACATGGGAAACAATATGTAATTTACATGGTAGTAATCTACATTTACAAAATGTAGATTATGTATCAAAGTAATCTACATACCAACCCAGGGAATAAAGCGATCGTCGTATATTGCGGATTGAAACAATTTATTCGATATTTATTAAATTAAATTCGATATTTTCCATTTTTTTACATTCTGTTAGAATTTACGTAAGTGTGTATTATTATGGATTAATATGGATTACTACTCACAACATAGAATTACTTTAAACAAAAATTATTATTCTAGTACTGCTCTGCCCCTAGGGTTCACACGATCGAAAGCTTTCTCAA